TGCAATGGCATCCCCTGAAAGACAGAACTTGGACAATCAATTCGCTAAGAGAAGCAAAAAAAAAAAAAAATTTCATCTGGATTGTCACGTAAACTGAAAGTAATTGGGGAGCAGGGAGGCAAAGGGAAGAGACACCATATTAAACTGTGATCTGTTAGACACAAAAGTGGAAATGTGAAGAGGAGAGGTTATAAAATACTAGAGGACTGGCCTGGGAGGGATCTGGAGTCTCTGCTGGGCAGCAGAAGCATCAAGAGAAACGTCTTCAGACTCTACAGCTGATGGAGACACCCTGGTTCCAGGGGAGGATGATGGCAGGGAGGCTAGTGAGGCCTGGAGGAGGGGTACCGGAACTCTAGGGCTGCAAGGCTCAGAAGGAGGAGTCTCCCGCAGCACCCCAGGCTTTGTGAGCTTGGCAGACAGGCATGGGCTTGAGGGCTCAGACAAAAGCCCCTGCAGGAAGCACATGTTCCTGCTATGTGCCCAGGATCCTGGGCCCCCAGGGAGGCTCACTGAGTCTGGATTCTGCCTTGGGCAGGCTGCCTAGGATAGCTGTGCTCCATTCTGAGTGGGGACAGAGTCAGTGAGAAACTTGGCTCCAACTTGCTGTCGGCTGGCAGGCTAGGATGCCTGACATCTAGCCAAAACCCTGGGCTGGGAGCGGGGAAACCTGGGTTTCAGCCCTCTTTGGCCATTATCTGGGAGTCCTTGATACCTTTAACTGTCCCTGTCCAGTTTCTGAATGTGCATCACGGTGAGTGTGAACTGGGAGCTTTTTTATATCCCTGTAAAGTATAGAATTATCAGATGGCACTTGCTGAGGACCATGATAGCAACCACAGAGCAAGGCAGTCTTCCTTGGAATAGAACATTCACCCTCCCTTTTAGCAAATTTGTGAATCTGTTACCGAGGATCTTAAAAATCTTGAGTGGAATTTAATGTTATTAATGCACCAATAAAATGGATCAATAGGATGGAACTCTATATATATCCTGGCCTTAAACAGCAACTTCCCCCTATACCCATAAGCATGTACTCTCAGAGAAGATTGCTTGTGTGGCTAGATAATACTTTGAGAGAGGAAAACATTTTCCCCTCCTTGTGTGTCCACCTCCCCCTCTCTACTGCCACCTCTAACACTTTCCTGATATCACTGCCCCAGGCCAGGTATGTGCAGGATTATACCCAGAAGTAACTTGCTGGTTCTTCTGGCTGATTTCCAAGACAGGTCCTTAGGTCTGGCTTTTGCAGGAGGTACAGAGTAGAGAGGATTGGTAGGGGAGAAGCAGAAAGGCAAGAAAGAACGGGAAGGGGAAAGGTATGTGGGTCTCTGGAAGAGGACTCTGACAAGACAGCAGAGAGCAGCAGAGACCACAGAAGCTGGGACAAGAATCAAAGTGTGGATCAGATTGGGGAGCAGGGTCACCCCTCCCAACCCTGAGATCTGGGCGCTGCATAAAATCAGAAAATTGTGATACAACCCTGGTGGTTTCCTTTCTTGCCAGCCTGGTGAGACAAAGTCTCCAAACATAATATTAAGTTGTTATCTGGAAAATAAGAAGAGGGCCATATTTCTTGCACATCTGAGCATGTTAGAGGTCCATACTCATTATCTTTTTGTTTTGCATGTTGGGAAAGATAATAAAGTTAGTCTTGGAACTATATAGAACCAATGATATCTCCAACCATGAAGAGGAGGAAACTCCTCTGACTCTCCCCTTTCTCTTTTTTAGCAAGACAGTTCTGACAACCTGTGGCCAGAGAATGTGTGGGCAGATCACAGAAACTCAGCACTGAAAGTGGCTCAAATCTGGCATTTATTGTGACTGTCTGAGTTCAAGTACTCACTCAATTTCCCTGTTTATAAAATTGAGTGGTTATGTTGTTAGTGCCAGGACTGTGAAGTAGTGTCATCAGTTCTCTGTATAGTAAGAACTTTCTTCTCCTTTAGTGCAGTGGGTTAAGCCCACAGCCCTGTGGGCCAGAGAGGCCCAGTCTGAAGCCTGGATCATTGATTTCTATGTGTTATCACTAAGCTTCTTGGACCTCATTTTTGTTGTCTGAAAAAATTAGAATAATAGCCATGCCCACTTCATAAGTACTCAAGACAGAGTGTGGCTCAGAGTAAATGCAATTTATGTATTTTCTATTATTACTGGAATTTTAGTCTGTGCACAGCAAATGAGAAAATGTTTATCCAGCACCACTCTGAAGGAAAGTGAGGGGCATTTGGAGCAAGCTGACTGTGGGCCAGGGAAATGAGATCAGTCATTTCAGCACTGCAACATCCTATCTTTGACTGAGCAATACACTGACTTTGGAAATTACCCAAAATGACAGTTCTATGGACATTTACAGGGGAGGGGGGACTTAAGTGAAATGAAATCAAAGCAAAAAGGGGTATTTATCAATGTTCCTTAGTTATAAACAGACTCTTCCCCTCCAGCATCCAAGCCGGGTCAGATTTCTTTTATTATAAAACAAACCACAAGATCTCTTGACGTGACCACCCCTCCCTTTTTGCTGAGAGAAAACCTCTCCTCCCTTTTAAGGCCAAATTCCTTGGACATGAAGCCTAAAGATTCTAACCAGTGTCTCCACTCCCCATTAACTGGCCTCTGATGACCCCACGGAATCTGGCTTGCCAATGGGCGCCCCCTTCTTGAAGTTCACCTCCTTCCCATCTACTCTTGTCTGACCTCTCCCCTCTCTCTTTAGCAGGACAGTTTTGACAACCTGTGGCCAGAGAATGTGTGGGCAGTGTACAGAGCATGGAAGAAATGAAGACTCAGCCCGAGGGGACCTTGACACGCAGGGGTACAGACACTGAGTCTAGGAATCAGGAGGTGCAAGTGAGGGAGAGGGGCGGGTATTCCTGGCAGAGACTGCCAGGGTCAAGGGAGCTTGGGCCTGAGTGCCCCACTTATGCTACAGCAGCCAGGATGGTTGAAGTGTGAGTTCAGGGTGGGAGCTGGTAGAAGGTGAGGCTGGAGAGGATACTCTGGTCGGGGGGGGGGGGGGGGGGGGGGGGGGGGGAGGGGATGAATAAGCAGAGACAAGGGGATCAAGAAGACCTTTGCATTCCACTCTGGAGGTAGTGGAGGCTGCTAAGGATTTGAGAACTGCTGGTACATGAAACTCCAAGGCCTCTGGAAATTGGTGCCACCAAATTTATCTAAGCTCAAATTCCTAATAGTGACATTTAAACAGGACATCTGCTCCAAGTAGGTGAGGTATTCACTGTGCCCTACACATGGGTGACTTTACCTAAGAATCATTTCCCAAATGCCTACTATGTGCCAGACCCCAACTCTGGCTCAGGAGTGTGGCACACCCCACCTCAGTGAGTGGGACCAAGACCCCCTTGATGCAAATGGACAATACAGGGAGTCAGAGCTTCAACAGAGGTTCATGCAAGGAGCCATGCAGCAAAGGAAGATCTCTCCAACTCTGCTTAAAGACCAGGGCAGGGATAAGCCAGGGAAGACTTATTGGTAGAGGTACCATTTGAGATGCTTCTTTAAAACAGTAGAAGAACCCTCAACAGAGCACTCTGGAAAGCAGGCATAAGGAGGGCGAGGCTTGAGAAAGAACATGAAAAACAGACACTAAATGAAGCCATTTTAAAATAGGGTCAGAGTTGTGTTGATGGAAAAGCTGCTTTTGTTTGACCCTGGGCCAAACAGCAATTGTGTCATGAACCTCTGTGGTTTACCAGCAGGAGAACATCTTGATCATAAAAACTGATGAGGACAGACTTCTTGCCAACAGATAGACTCAGGAACAAATTATGTGTAGCTAAGACTAGTTGAAGCTGATTAACAACTAATTAATCAAAAATTAAAATAATTAAATAATTAAACTCTTTTCTTTAACTTAGCTCATCATCCTCCTTTCCTTAGCTTAAAACCCCCAACTTAGCTTAAAACCCCCAACCACTGAATTGCAATTCTTAATTTCAAATGAATGTTTGATTGCCTCTCATTTTGGTATTTTAGTTTGAGGTTAATAGGAAACTGATTGGAAGGTCAGTGTGATGGGGACATGGAGAGGGAGGCAGGAAATTTGGGCTGTGTCTGGTGGGTGGGATTGTCTCTGCTTATTCTCAGCTTCACGCATGATCCTTGGGCTTCCTTCCCTCTCCCTGGCCTGCTCCTTAACTGTTGTTTCTAAATCCAGCTGAAGACCAAGTAGCTCCCAGCAGCCCTCTCTGCCTTTGCCAGCTCACCCTGGCTATCTTCCTTGAACTAGCAGATGACACTACAGAAGTTCACAATCCATTGTTTCACAGGTGCTGGGTTTATCTCCTCACCTAAACCTGGAAGCTTCTGAAGGGCAGGAAGAAATCCTCAAACTTGATTGGTTCCTCAGAACCGAGCACACTGTAGGAAGTGGCCCTACCTGGTGCTGTAAAAGCAGCATCAAAACCACCCACGTCTGAAATGGCTGCATCTGCCTCTGCTTTCTTTTCCATAAAACTAAGGGTGAAATAGACACATGTGGAATCCACAGCCATGTATTCCAGTATTCTCCTGCTGAGTCTGTGAGCATGCAGAGACAAACAAATAGGACTATTTTGATTTCAACACTCAGCAAAGTCAAAGTTCCTGATGCAGGGAAATCAACCAAGAAGACTCTGTGATGCTGGACACAACTTCCCAGAAGTCTTTCCTCCTCAAAAAAAAAAAAAAAATAACACCCAAAATGCACAGCAGGATAGGCTTTGTATTCAGACAACAAAATCTAACAGTTTCTTGCTTTGCTCTGAACTGTAATGCCCAAGGGAACAATTCCATAACATCCTTGAGGATGGCTGTCCCAGTGAGGTGACATGCACAGGTGTGGCCATACAGACCATACCAATTGTTAAAATACACTAGTTTTGTTAACTGTTTTCGGCCTGGATGCCTCCTCTAAAAACCTCCTCTCTCCCTCCCCCAGTTTTAAAACTGAGGGATTAGTCAGGGCGCTGTCCTAGGGTTTTCCAGAGGGGCTGTACCTGGCACACTAATAAGTTCCTGGCCACTGTCCTCTTCTCACAAGAACAAAGGTGAAGCAATTTAGGGACTCTGGCAGCTCCTGAACCGGCTTTTCAGAGCTCCACCCTAATGAGCAAACACAGCGAGAGAGAAGTTGTCAAACCACTTGCTGGAGAGGCCTGCTGCTCCCAGGAGCTTCTCTGGGAATCATCACCGCTCTCTTCCAGGTGCAGAGCAAAAGGGAAGGGTTGCAAGTGCACTTGGTGGTCAAACCCGGCAACACAGTGAAAGGATTGTTGGTCAGCAACAGCATCTAGGGAACGCTGAGGTCCAGTCACTCGCTGGATAGGTGTGTTCCTTGCACTAGGTGACCTCAAGGAGAAAGCCCCCCATGGGTTCCCACCCAACATGACCTCAGCTGCCTTTCAGGGGTAGCACTCCTCATCCCAAGACAAAGCCACCCTCAAACCCCTTATAAGATGTCATTCCAGCTGTGGTTTTTCCAAAAGCGTTGCCATTGTGAGCTTACCCTCACTGGCATTTTTTCTCTCTCTTTTTAACATAAAGGCCAACAACGTTTCTCTGGAGCTTTTGCCTATTCTACCTGGTGCTAAGGTGGAGGCTCAAGGCCTTTTGTTGAGGGGCTCAATAAATTTCTGGGATGTTCATGGCACGGCTGGCGGTCACTGACTCCCTCTTCCCAGGAAGGTAGTGACGCCGCCTTCTCAGTTGGGCACGAAAATGAAAAGGAGAAAATCTGACAAGACTGTTTCCAAGACGGAGATGCAAGCACCTTCCCCACAGCGAGATTTCTCTGCGTCCCGCTGGCTCGGTGAGTCCACAGGTCCCGGCCCTCCTAGCCTGAGGAACATCTCCTCCCCGCCAGCCTCGCCTCCTGCTTACCTCCACCAGCCAAACCCAGGCGGCTGGAAGCTCGAGGGCCGACGGGCCGCCCCGCGGAGGAGGAGAGGGGAAGGAGCCCAAAGCACCCCGGCACGGCACCGGCGGGAGGAGGCGCCCAACCGCCTCGGGCAGTCCGGTTCCGCGACTCCGGATCGCGCGCTGACGCGTCTCGGGGCGCCGGCCCCAGCTTGCCTCAGCCACGTGGCGCTTACCTGCGCGGTAAGTGGGGTCCCCTAGTGCTGCTGCCGCTGGCGCCAGCTCCTCACGCCACAGATTCTCCGCGAGGTCTTAAGACCCCGACGGCCACGCCTCCGGACAGATCCCGCCCAGGGAGAAGGCGCCCGACAGGCCACGCCCCCTACGGCCACGCCCCTCTGCCCAGGTAACTTCTTTGTTCTCAGGTAAGCAGGGTGACCTGCTTCTACCCAGAGGCCCCTCGGACACCCCCAGGGGTGGGGCGGAGTGTCTGCTCGCTGAAGGGAAGTGCCGGGGACCCGTGCGGTTGGGGGGCGGAAGGCTAGGTTCTCGGGCACCCTGGACCCAAGGAGGAGGAGGTGGCTCTGGAGGCGGTGGGTGGTGAGTGCAGGGGGAGGGGCAGAGCCGCAGCTCTGTAGACGCCCCAAATATCATGGTGAACATCCAGGCCAGTGTTTCCCTTCCCTCCCTTGTCCCATCTCACAGAGGCGGAAGCCCGGGTGGAGACCTGGAGGAATTGTCCAAGGCACAGCCAGAAGCTGGCAAAAGAGGAACTCGGCCCCATGCTGACTCCAGTGCAGTGCGCCTGCAGCTGCTACGGACCACACGCTCTTGGTTGGAGGTCTTGATAGAGTCCAGGCTGCGAGGGGGACTGAGTTCTGGAGATCTCAAGGGAAGACAAATCTTTTGGCAAACTTCTTTCTGCCTTGTCTTCTTTTCTTTTCTTTTTTTTTTAATATTTTTTTTAATTTACTTTTTTAAACTTTTTTTTTCCCTTAAAGATTTATTTATTTATTTATACAAGCACTGGGTACAGTCAGAAGCGCAGGAGGGTGAGAGAATTCACCAGAGCCAGAGCAGGGAGCAGAGCAGGCAGAAGGACCGAAGTACACTGCTGAGGGGAGCAGCGGGCGGCAGGAGAGGTCTGCGCGCCATGCGGGACCCTCCTCCGGTGGCCGGGGAGCAGCCGGGGATCGAACCGGCGCTGCAGAGGCTTCGGACAGCTTCGCAACCCAGCGCTCAACCGCTGCGCCACCGGGAGGCCCTTATTTTCTTTTCTCCTTGCCACCCCCCCCATCCCCCCCCCCTCTTCCCCCCTCCCCCACCCCGTTGGGATTTGCAGGAAAAGGGACTAAAGAGCTCCCCAGAGACATGTGCATTCCAGAACCCCCCAAACCTCCTTCCACTTCTAAATAGGTTCTGCCATCCGCAGCATCGAGACAAAATATGCTCTAGTGTGTAAGACCTTTAATGGAAAGGAACTATAATACAATTAGTGTGCAATTCAGAGAAGGGGAAGGATATCGTTTCCAAATCCAGCACCTTAAGTTACCCATCCTCACGTGAGCAAATGCCCAGCCAGACAGGGTCAGCCCAAAGCATGGCAGCTGAGGCCCAAAAGCTTGCCACAAGTCTAAGGCATCGCCTTTTGGAGACCCATAGGAAAGGGGCAGAAGTGGGCCAGCATGTCTGGGACAGAAGAAACAAAATCAAAATCAATATAAAAACTGCCAATGTTAACCTCCGCACAGGTCCCTCTCCCACGTCTGTTTCAACCAGTCCAGAACCAAGCAGCAAGTGCAGTTTCTTCATCTCTCTCTGCTCCATGCACCTCCTCCAGGTCTCCATCCTGCTTCCTTCCTTTTCTAGTCCCCTCCCTAGCTTCTCCTCCCCCCTGCTCAGCTCCACCTTTCCTTGGGTGGGGCAAGGAACTTGGAACCTCCCCTTTTCCTGGGGACCACCAGGGAAGACCTATAATCCCCTCTTTTAATTTTTATTCCACATCTATGGTGGTGAAGATCTTGAGGTGCAGCCTTAGAAGACAGTCTTTTTCAGTGTTCCAGTGTGTGTTAAAGAAGCAACAGTCACTAGCATTGTCCATGAATGTCCAGTATAACAAAAGTCCTCCATTTCTGGAAAATAGTCCATCTGGAGGCATTAGCCATAACTAAACAGCAAACAGTATATCAAAATTATGGCAAGAAAAAAATTTAAAACTTATTCAACTTATTTAAAATCAAGTTCTCTCCACCTTGATTCCTATTCTATCCAACAAAGTGTTAAAAAGAGGGGACTTTATCAAGAAAAGGGTGACTTTCTGGGGTGAAACCCAGTTTAAGGACAGATACGGCACTGGCTTGAGTAAAACTGGGGGACCTGGGGGTGGGGTCACGGACTGTGTCATTGAAAGAGCCCCCACCCCAACTAACCTGCCTCTGGGAGCTCAGGGTATAATCCCAGAACAGCTGACACCCCCACTCCCTGGTCAATGAGTTGGCAATCTGATCCACCAAGGAGGGAATGATGTGTAAAACAAAACCTGGCACTAAATTACAGCGCAAGGATCTCATTATATTCTTCTCTGCTCCGTCTCTTTGTTGGCAGCTTGAAGTGGCAAGTTGCCTCAAGTAGGTGAAAGGGCAGCGTGCAGCTCTGCAAAAGGCTCCTCACTCAACCCCAAACCCATTGTGTGTGTGTGTGTGAGAGATGGGGCACTGTGGAGATAGATGGGTGCTTACACTCTGGCCCTGTGCATGGGTGGATAGAGCAGTGTCCATAAGGGTATGCAAGGAGTGCTGAGGACTGGGAGCCCCAGTGTCCAGTCGTGCCTTGCTGGAGCAAGTCCAAGTCCCCTTTCTGCCTGTGGAGCCAAGCATGTGTTGGGGAGCTTGCTCTGTGACAGACACTGTTTGCCCTGCTTTGTCCTGTTTCACAAGTGCATGTTGCAAGACCAGTGTGGGCCTTGTATATGTCAGGAGCAGGGGTGCTGTGGTTATATAGGGGAGAGAGGAACATCCCAGGCCCTGTTACTGACTCGCAGGGACATCCAAAGGCCTCTCCCTGGGACAGCCTCAGTCTTTGGATACTGGGTCCAGTCCCCTGGTTCCAGGGACTCATGTGAGACTTGAATGGACTGTCGGGTCCTGTCTCCTTGGCTCTTCTTTCAACAAATGTGGTCATTGAGGGAGATGACAACTTCCACCTGGATAGCACGACCAGCTAAGGGTCTTCTTATATGTGGCCCTCTAAGTGAGCCTCCATTATCTTTCTCCAGTGTGGCAGAGGAGGGACTGAGATGAAAGCCTTTTTTGATCAGGGTTAGAGGGGCTGTCACTTGCTTTTTGTCCTTTAACATTCAGAGTAGAACACCCACCCTCAGGGTATGACAAGCCTCTCACAGGCAGTCTTTTTAGAGGTTCCTTGTCACTCCTCTGCGTAAGCCCCAGTGCTTCCAATGAGCTGAGAATAAAGTCCAGATTCTGAACCAAGGTTCTGCCCCACCCCTGTCTCCTCCTTTCAGGATCCAGCCTTCCTAACTGCCTTTCACTCTTTTAGGGGCTCCATCCATGCATCTCCTTTTGCCTGGAATGCTCCAAATCATGGGGACATGACTTTGCATGCTTCAGTCTCACCCATCCTTTAGTTTCCCCTCAAAAATATTTCTTCTTCAAAGAGAAGTTCCCTAACCCCTCTCCTAAATCAGACTCCTCCTGTTATTTTGTCTCCTTTAATCTTATTCTTTTTCTTCATGACTCTTACCTCTATTTGTGATTTTATACTAATGTGTTCACTGGCCCAAGGTCAGATCTACTTCACAGACCTATCGGCTGTAAGTTTCGTGAGGGGAGGAGCCACAACAGATCTGGTCACCACTTTAAATTCAGTATCTGACAAGAGTCTCCCAATAAGTATTTGCTGGTGAATGAATGAATATTAGCAGTTTTCATTTTAAAGGACATCATTTGAATCCAATAAGCTTGTAAACACGAGCATTAGTGACTATTCTATTTTAAAAGGCAACAATCAAAACAAGACTCAAGGAAATGCAAATACCAAGGCTTATTAATTACTTCTCAAAACTAACGACGCATTCAACAACTATATATTATGGTTCTACTATAGGCCTGTGCTGCTTGACAGGAATATAAATCTGAACAAGAGTCAGCTTTCAGTATGAAGAGCTCATAGCCCAGTGGGGAAGGTGGACATGTAAACAAAATGCTTAGACTATAAGTCAATCAGTGCTACAAGAACATGTGTAGCTAATTCAGTTGGAAAACCCTGCCTCCAGGATTTGATAATGTCCTAGCTGCAAGTAAATAGATATGCTAAGCTATCAGTTGGACAGGACAGAGGGAGGGTATTCCAGGCAAGGGGTACAACTTGCAATGAACTGAGGGGGAAGGTAGGTGACTCACTGGGGAAATGGCCACTAGTTTGGTGGGTGTAAATGAGGTGCAAGTTGTGTGATGGGGTGGGCGTGGATGCAGTTTAGATGTTGTCAGCAGCATGTGGGATGGAGGAATCTATTGGATACTGTATGGTAGAAGGTGGGCTTTGAGGGAAAGATAGATTGAGTTCAGTTTGGAATGAATTGGTTTGGGGCTGTTTGTGGGACATGAAGGTAGAGTTGTTCAATGGGCTGTGGAAGTGATGTATCCAGCATGTGAGAGACTTTTATATGGAGATAGAGTTAGGAGGCACCAAGATGGAGGAGACAGCTGAAACTACAAGTGGAAAACAGTGTCTAGAAGGAGCAAAGTCAAGGTCTGAGGAGGAGACTAAGTGTCATAAAGGACAGGTATGACAAATTTAACTACATTAAAATAAGACCTGTTCCCCAAAAGACATCATCAAAAGAGTGAAAAGACAGGAAGCGAAACTAGAGATGTAAGCAGCATATGTACAGAGGACAAGTATCCAGTATATAAAGAAGTCCTTGAAATTGTTAGGGGGGAAGGATGTCCTGAGCTAATCCCATACAGGCTTTTGGACTCCACCCCCACTCCAGACCAAAGCCATCAAGACATTGGGAAAGACAAATCCCATCACCACCAAGGGGAAGGTGGCTGGGACCTGAGGGTGGAGTTAAGCAGCCAGGTTTGGTATAAAAACCAGACACATGGGCCTCGGGGTCTCTCTTTCGCTCTCGCCT